GAGTTGAAGGTGTTGAGAAGTGCAACAAGCCAGAAAGAATTATCAAGTTAAAAAGCTGCTTTTTGCTTTATTTTATTTTGTTTTATGCCTAAATCACTCAGATTTGTCAGGGCTAAAAACTCAAAAGCTAATTAGGTCAAAAGTTCAGGCTTTCAATATTTTGCATTTGTGTTTCTGAAAAAAAAAAAAATCAACAAATGCTTTATCAAATGGTGGGAAAGCACTGTTTTGATAAGGACAATTTTATTTTATTTTTTTGCCACAGAGCATCATTCACTATGATCGCCCAGGCGGGAGTGCAGTGGTATGATCTTGGCTCACTGCAACCTCTGCATCCCGGGTTCAAGCGATTCTCCTGCTTCAGCCTCCTGAGTAGTTAGGATTACAGGTGCCCACCACCATGCTCAGCTAATTTTTGTATTTTTAGTAGAGACAGGGTTTTACCATGTTGGCTAGGCTGGTCTCAAACTCCTGACCTCAAGTGATACGCCCACCTTGGCCTCCCAAAGTGGTGAGATTATGACAATATTTTATAATACATTATTTCAAATGATTACTGAATTTACTGTTAATAGGGTGATTTAAATACACATATATATGTGTATATATATATGTATACATACATATATATCTTTTAATCGCATATACAACTCATCAGAGAACATAATCTAAAATCATAACTGTTAATGACTGCTGTTGACTGTATTTTTTTGTTGTTGTTCCAACTCCAGAATCCAGAACAGTGCTGGCACCTAATAAGTAGGAGGTCAATACATTTTTTTAATGAACAAATAATTGAATGATTACCCAGATATGTATGGATAAATATACTTGTGTGTGTATGTATACATGGCTTGGGAAATTTAAGAAAAGGGAGGGAAGACAGCTCACATATATTAAATACTAACTATGGACCCATCTCTATTTTAGTGTTTCATTTATATCATTTAACCCTCACAATAACTCACAAAAAAAGCTCACAGAGAATAAGCAACCAGAACATATAGTCACAGAGTTATTAATAATAAATGGTGGAAATGGATTTTGAACTCTGTGGATCTATTTTGCTGTTAGCATTCTACCATGCCACATCTTGAGATTCATTCTTTCTCCACTGGATATGAGTAATGACCAATCAAAAATAGTGAAATAAAATAATATAGCAAAATGCTAGAAATACTGAGCATCTCAAAGAACCTAGTGTTACACAGGACATGACAATGCTCTGGTACAAGCCTTCAGTGAAGGTACACAATGAGGATGAATGGGAAGCAGGTGGATTGGGAGGCTAGCTCTGGCCACAGGCAGGATCTGTCCTGAAAGCAAGGTCTTCATTTAATCCTTACAGTAACTCATAACCAAGGTTGAAAGGTTAAGCAACAAGAGCATAGGTCCATGTAGCTTATAAATGGTGAAAATGGATTCCCTGCATCATTTTTACTCTTTCTATTCTAAAACACTAATCTTGTGATTTACTCTTCTTCTATATCACTATTTTTCTTTCAATAGGTTTTTGGGGAACAGGTAGTGTTTGGTTACATGAATAAGTTCTTTGGTGGTGATTTCCGAGATCTTACTGTACCCATCACCTGAGCAGTGTACACTGTACCCAAGGTGTAGTCTATTATCCCTCACCCGCCTCCCACCCTTTCCCCCGAGTCCCCAAAGTCCATTGTATCATTCTTAGGCTTGTGTGTCCTCATAGCTCCCACTTCTGAATGAGAACATACAATGTTTGGTTTTCCACTCCTGAGTTACTTCATTTAGAATAATGGTCTCCAATCCCATTCAGATTGCTGTGAATGCCATTATTTCATTCCTTTTTATAGCTGAGTAGTATTCCATGGTATATATATACCACATTTGCTTTATCCATTCATTGATTGATGGGTATTTGGACTGGCTCCATTTTTTTTCCAATTGCAAATTGTGCTGCTATAAATGTGTGCGCAAATATCTTTTTTGTATAATGACTTCTTTTCCTCTGGGTAGATGCCCAGGAGCGGGATTTCTGGATCAAACGGTAGATCTTTTAGTTCTTTAAGAAATTTCCACACAGTTTTCCATAGTGGTTGTACTAGTTCACATTTTCCCCAACAGTGTAAAAGTGTTCTTTTTTCACCATATCCACGCCAACATCTATTATTTTTTGATTATGGCCATTCTTGCAGGAGTGAGGTGGTATGATATCATATCGTGGTTTTGATTTGCATTTCCCTGATAATTAGTGATATTGAGCATTTCTTCATCTGTTTCTTGGCCATTTGTGTATCTTCTTTTGAGAATTGTCTATTCAAATGTCCTTAGCCCACTTTTTGATGGGATTGTTTTGTTCTTGCTGTATATCACATTTCTCAACCAGGGACGATGTCTGGTGGCATTTTTTTATTATCACATCAGAAGCGTGTTATTGGTATGTAATGCATAGAGGCCAGTAATCTATCAAAGCACTCACTTACATATGTGTCTGTAAAGTGCGAGACACTCCTCTAAGCACCAGGTATAGGGAGGTAAGGAAATCAGACAATGTCCTCTGTCTCAAAGGTCCCATTCAAAAGTGGGAGATAGACCTGAAGCCCATAAATAAAATTAGTTCAGATAGTAACGAATGCCAAGAGGATAACAAAACATCGTTAAATGGGAGAAAGATGAAGGTGATAAGTTTAATATTAGACTAGTACTAGATAAGATGGTCAGAGAAGCACTCTTTGAATAGGGAACTTTGCGTGGACACTTTTAATTCTAAGAAAGATTCTGGGAGTCAAACAAACAGCCACTGCATTAGTTCTATCAAGAAAGGATGTTGGGTGGTCAAGCAATTAAAAAAAGTCAATTTAGCTGGGACATGCTGAGTCAAAAGGAGGTTGTGCTTCATGCTGAATTAGAGAAGACAAAAGGGCCAGATCATTTGGGGCTTTTCAAGTCCCAGGTAAGAAGTTTACATTTTAATATAAGTCAATTAATTGTGACTGGATGGTTTTATCATGGGGAAAAAAATGGGTCCCATTGTAAAGCTCCCTTTGACTTCCATATGTGAATCTGGCACGGGGCAGGGCAAGGACAGAAGTACAGGAATGGCTTAGGAGTATGCTATCGTCCTCCAGGCAAATGACGATGGTGACTTTAAGATACAAGAAAGTGGAAGTATAAAGACAGAATAGGAAAGAGTCTATTGGCAATCAAACAATCTCCCCAGTGAAGCGCTATCACAATGAAAGGAACACCCCCATGGAAAATGAAAACACAGATGACAGCTTAAATGAAAATGATCCACTTAAATTTTTTTTGGAATTATAAACAATGGGGATTGACAAAGTTTGCAATAATAAAGCCCTTGTTCAAATTCAATTTTCATAAAATTCAGCTTTACCTTGCTCTTGTGGATGTGTTCTGAAAAGATTTTTCTTAACATGAAAATCGGTGTCTGTGGGAAAACTCAAAGGCTTATTAGGGAATACTCTGTCTTTTGTCATACACTAAAAATCTGTCTTTGAGGCACTGAAAATTTCATACACGTTGAGATCCACACTTATCCCAGTATACTTTTCTATCTATACGGCCTAAAGGCCATTCGCAAACTACAAATGGACTGTCTTACCAAAGTTTATTTGCAAATCAGTTACTTGGGACCCAGAACATAAATTTCCAAAGAAACAACATTGTGTTGTAAATAATGGCTAGATTACTTAGCCAGGCAACCAAAGTTCTAACTCACACTGTATTTATATTAAAATACCAAAGCTGCAACAATTGTAAATATTGCTTCTATGGGAAAAGAGGCTGAAATTCCGATTCGTAATGCCTGGTGTCTGAGAATGAGAATGAGGAGTTTTCCCATATCCTGATGCCTGTCTTGATACCAGAAGGGGTTTGGGGGTCTCAAACCACAGGGGCTGAGGGTTCGACTCCTCACCAGTGTAAGAAAGGTGATGCAAGGATGGCGTCTCCAGTGGAGGATGAGGCACTGGGAGTCAGGGATACAAGAGGTATCTGCATTAATTCACTCAACAAGCATCTGGCTGGAAGGTGGAGATGCAACAATGAATAAGGCTTCATGTGTCTCATCCCACAGTGCAAAGCCTTTATCACAGTGGGAGGGGAGGCAAGAGGTATTGATAGAGACAGGAGACAGCCAAGGGTCCCCAGCGAAACCCCACCTTCAAGGCTAAAACAGCCTGAAGGCTGAAAAACCAGACTGCTGGTCCCGGATGAAGCCCGCCCTTTGCCGACTGTTTCTCTCTGAACAACGCCCACCTGCACACTGGGAGGATGGGGTGGAGGCTCAGGAGGTTTGCGCCATTTGCAGCTGGGAGGAGCCTGGCTTCTTCAGTTCCTGGGTGGTGCCCTGGGATTCAGTCTCTAAGGTGAGAAACCTGCTAGCAGTACTCTCTCTCACCCTGCTGAGTGTTATTTATTTTTTTTTCTTTTTGCCCAATAAATTCTGTTCCTCATCCTTCTATGTGTCTCCAAGCCTAATCTTTCCTGGTCATGTGACAAGAACCTGGTTTTAGCTGAACTGAGAGGAAAGTTCTGCAATAGTAGAGGGGAAAAGGGATGTTTGGGAAAAAGTGAGGCTCTGGTGACAAGAACAGATGTGAGTGTCCTAGTGAGAGGTTCTTAGGGACAGAAGAAAAAAGAAAGAATCATGAATTTAACTAAAACTCATTCAGTCTCTGATATAGTATAAACCTTATAGATTCCATCTGCCTAAATCAACCCTCACATTTTACAGAGGAGGAACCTGGTACTAAAAGGCAAAGGAGTCCACTGGTAATTGTGGAATTGGGTATAAAGTGCTTGATAATCAAATGCCTATTCATATATGCTAATCAATATCAATTTTTCCTTTTAATAAATTATACCCTGGAATAACAGGAAAAGCTTCAGCCATTAATAAAAGAAGGACATTAAAAGCCACTCCCTTATTTTCCAGGTGAGATAATGGAGGTGCAGGGAGGTAAAGTGATGTGACTTGCGTAAGATGAAGTCATAATGAGGGCTGCCTGGCTTGTGTGACCCAGAGGTTTCCACTGTGCTTCCAGCATGACCAGCCTCATCGCCAAAATGAGGACAAGGAAAAAGAGCTCTATCGCTGGGAGTGGATATCATATATAGACTAAAAAGGTATATTCCTCTAAGCAAAGATTTTAAACATAATTTCCCACTTATGAAAATTGTTCATTGGTGAAAACAATCATACATGATTTAGACCCTCTTTACCTAATATAAATATGGAGTGAAAGTTTCTAAATGAATTTTCCAAAAAATTAGTATTTGCCCTTTAAGTGACAAAAATTTCGCTGTTTTTTTTTTTTTTGAGAAATTTCTTCTTTCAAATGTCTTAATTGAATCAATTGAAATGAGTTTTTCCCCACTGAAGTCCTGAAGCCATCATTTCACTTTGGTAATTGAGTAATTTTTATGGGATCTTTCTTATCTGAAGCTGTCTCTGTCCCGTTTTATCGGCATGCTTCCCTTCCCTCCTGCAGCTCCCTAATTCCAATCAGATGCTTCCAGTCTTCTACAGACTGAGACAAACTGGATCATAAGGACTGACAGAAAATTATGTAAGGTAAGAGTCCAAAAGCCAAGAGTACTTCTCAAAAGTTAAATAATCATTATGATGGTAATTTTGGTGGCTCAGACGCATCTCCGGTGACACTATTCTGAATATAACTTACTTATCCCTTTTGATCTCAGTTCAGTAGCATTTTCAATTACATCCAAAATCTCAGCAGTTTTCTGAATAATTGAGATAGCAAAAATTTAAACTTCAGTGAGATTTAATTTTTAAGAATATATATAGAATTGGTTTTTCTACTTCAAGTAATACATTTCCACTTTAAATTTCATTTAAAACAACCCTAAATATTTTTCTTAATACCCTTCTTGATAGGTTAATTAGTTTAGAAAAACCAAGTTATATATTTCCACTTAAAGTACTACTTGTGGATAAAAGTTACTATGTGAAAGTCATCTAAATTAATTAATTCTGGAAACACAATATCAAATAAGAGGTACAAGAGAGACAGAGAGATATTAGGTAGCAATAGGCAAACAAGCTACAAATGAAAAATTGTAGCAGCCCCCAATGAAATCATTAGGAACTAAATGCCTATTTGTAACAGGTGGCTTCAGAGACTCCAGAAAACAAATTGGAGATGTGTGGTAATGACTATAACCCCCTAAGTGATTCAGTGATTCAATTATGCACAGCCTTTGCAGGGAAAACTTACATTTTTGTGTCATATAAGCCAAACCTGACTTCACTGTACATTATTTTAGCCCACTGCTAAACAAGAACCACTGCTAATCTGCACATGTGAAGCCTGGGAAATAAGGTCTTCAATAAAGACTTTTTTTAACTTATCAAAAAGAAATGTGGATTACACTTTTTATAAATAATGTTTCAAAGAGATATCTTTTCAGTTGTAAAAACAGAATGAATGTGTCCAAATATTCAGTCAGCATAGTTGGTTTAGATGATCTCTAAAGGGCTCTTCCATATGAAACTACGTTACAATCACACCAGAGGGAGCACACTTAGGAAACTTAATAACAACAACTCTTCTCTTTCCTTGCAGTTAACAATTGAATATCTTTTACCAGTCTCCATTCTGCCAAAACGTTTTCTGTATACAAGCTGGCAGCACTGGAGAAGTTGTCATCTTCTTTCTTTCCAACTCTTAGCAATGGTAGCCAAAAGTCTCTTTGTTGCTCAAATAGTCCATGCCATCTGCCAGCAGTTTCTCCATCCTGCAGTACCATCTGCCAGGCTCTGCTTCAGCGTCCAGGTCACGTTGCCTGTATGCTATTTCAAATGGCTCTCTCACCAGAAGAGAGAGCGAGCAAACCAACACCTTTTGGTTTTAACCATTCTTGGTAATCCTCACAAACACTGTCCTCCAGCTGACTGGTTCTAAACAGGGCAAAAAGCTCAACAATTGGAATGAAACAATTTCCTTTGTTGTTGTTGGTTTTTTTTTTTTTAGCCTAAGAAATTAGACAGCTATAGAACGTTAATATAATCAGTCATTGATATAACACATTTTTATAGCTGCGATTCCTTTTTGTTTTTATAATGTATTCTTAATTATAATAAATTATTCTTCAGATAAAAAAGCAAAAAGGGGAAAACAATCCGTATTTCTACAGTTAATCCTGATTATTTTAAAAGCAACTCCTGGCAGAAATTAATAATTCAGATGAATGTTATTAACAGTATAATGCTAACTTTATGCTGCACTGCACTATTCTTCATTCTAATCTGCTTAAAATTCTTGACTTTAAAGTAGAAAACAACAAGAGCCGCATAACAGTCCCTTAACAAGGTTAAGCTTAAAGAGTTCCATTAATATCCTCCCTAAGGCCACCAGGAAATTCCTTAAAGCGAGAGAGTTTCAGGATTTGCTGTGGATTATGCTCTAGGGCTTTTCTTTCTAGATTTGTTACTGCTAGGAATTTATCTTATGTCTCCATCACTGCCCGGCCTTCAAGGGAGGCCCTTTTTATTCCCACTCATCAAAAATCCCAGGATAACTCAACTACCATGAAATGTGGAAGTCCTTGCTATACTAGCACCAAAATTAAATTAACATTCAATTGAATGTCAGGAATCAAGTTCATTCATAAGAAATTACATTGTTCTACCCAAATGTCAGAAAATGTACATATTTTAAGATGCAACATCTGAGGTTTTCCAATCTTGACAGATGGCAATGTACGCCATAGGCATGTCTGATCTTTATACATGGGGGAGGGTGCTCTTATTATATTAACCTCCACATTTCTTTTACATCTTTTAGCTTTGTAGACCATAGATCTTGATGTTGGGGTATATGGCTATTCTCATCCATTTCTAAAAACATACCTACTTTTATACTCCTAATATGTGCAGAGTAAAGTTTCTAGTTTTTGTTTCCCAAATTTTGATTCACAACAGAATAGCACATACTTGTTACAGTCAAATACTTCCGAATACCACTAAATAAAATTTCATCATACCTATCACTATGCATATTCTGCTCACTTCAAGAAAAAGAAAAGAAAAAACTGGCTATTAAATCTTGCTCTTCAATGTCATTTTTTTGCCTTGAAGCGTATATTTAATAAACATCATGCAAAAGTATTCACATCTAAGATTTTACATTCAAATTTCACTAAAATTTGAGAATAAAAAAGTTCTTAAAAACTCTTACTTTTCAAATATTTAGACAAAACCCATATGAATATTGGAAATATGAGAATAATGCATAATTTTGTGAGCGTTAAAAGCAATAAATATTCTGAAACATAATGTTTTTAAAAATTCTAACTGAAATCAAATGTGTTTTTAAATAAATTGTATATATTGAAGGTATATAACAAGATGTTATATGATATATATGTATTTTGCTATATATTTTACATATTATATGTGTATATATAATATATACACCTATGTAGAGAGTAAAATTGTTACTGTTGTGGAATAAATTAATATACCCATCATCTCACACAGTTAACCATTTCCCCTCACACGGCAAGAACAGCTATAATCTATTCATTTAGCAAAAATCCTAAATACAATACACTATTAATGTACCCTATGTTGTACATTAGATCTTTGGATCTATTCACACTAAACATCTACTACTTTGCATCCTTTGACCTACATCTCCCTATTTCCTCCCCCACCCCAACTCTGGCAACCACTGTTTTATTCTCTCTACATATTTCATTTTCCGTTTTTTTTTTATTCCATAGGTAAGTGAGTTCATGCAATATTTTCCTGTTTCTGGCTTGTTTCATTTAGCAAAATATACTCCAGGACCATCCACGTTGCGGCATACAGCAGAATCTCCTTTCTTAAAAAGGCAGAATAGTATTCTATTGTGTATATACACCACAGTTCCTTTATTGGTAGATACCTAGATTGTCTCTATCTCTTGGCTATTGTGGATAATGCTGCAATGAACATGTTTTCAATTGAGGTGATCCTCTCTGGTACTTTAACTTGAAAGATATTTTACCATTTGATGAAAACTAAGGTTAATATGATAGTATTAACGTATTTGATAAAATGAGCAATTAACTAGTTTCCTTAAGTTTAAATATGTTATTTATATATACTCAAACTTATGGAATCCATTGAATGCATTTACGATATTATGGAAACACTATTGTATCCATTTACACCATAATTTAAAGTTTGGAACTGTGAACCCAGATAAATTCCATTGAGGCACAGTTTGAAAGACAAATCCAAATTACCAAGTGTTCAGGACCAACCCTCCTTTCAAATGATCAAGGATCTGTAGAAGGATGTGTTTGTCTTGGGATGAGCTTTTGTCTTGGGATGAGCTCTTAATGGGGTTCAGAATCTCTAATTATTTCATCTTGACATTTGAGAAAACTTCAGAAGCAGGAAGGCCATTCTCACCTTCCCTTGGCTCTTCTCCCCTGAAGCAGGCTATAAAATCGAAGACGGTCACTCTCTGACTTTCTCCCCAGAAGTGTTCTTCTTATGCTTGGAGGAAAGAAACATTCTTATCTCTGAAGATATAAAGAAGAATCTGAACAAGTAGGCCTTGTTCAACCCCTGTCCCCCAGTTTAATTCCATTAGATCATACTCCCTGTGTCCAAACATATTTCTCTATAATTATCAACTTCTTAATAAAACTTAGCATAAAAATACACAGGTCTCTCTGTTTTTTTTGCATCTTAATTTTCTTATGAAGTGTCCTATGTCATGTAAAACTCTTATATTAAGTAAATTTGTATGATTTTTTTTCTCATTCATCTGTCTTTTCTTACAGGGGCCTCAGCCATGAACCTAGCGATGGGTGAGAAATCAAATTTTCCTTCCTCTACATTCTCTTCCACATAAGACAACTTATAAAGGCACCAGTAGCTTGAGAGACTTATACAAACAGGATTTACTCTTAAGATAAAGAGTTATTTTTAGATAAAGGCTCTCCGCTAAAATGTATGCTGCAAATTTATGAACTCCTGAAGAAAGATGTGCCTTCTTGAATCTGAATGATATTAACTGAAGAAAGTTGAAAAAAGATGCTCAAGTTTCAACAGGTGATTGATATACAGCATTCAAACAGTGATGCAAAACACATAATAATATGAATTTCAGTGACTTCAGCAATAACTGATAGTAAGTGGGAGATTCTTTTTTAAATTTAAAAGTGGAGTGGGGGGGTCAAATATGGAACAAGAAAAGACCCATAACAACCAAACCAATCTTGAGCAAAACAAACAAAAAAAACCTGGAGGCATTACACACTCTGATCTAAAAAAGAAAATCCTAAAGCTCTTATAATCAAAACAGCATGGTACTGGATGACATAAAACAGACATATCAACCAATGAACATGATAGAAATCCCAGAAAGAAATCTATGACACACAGGTGCCATATGGGAAATAAGTAGAGTCTCTTTAATAAATGGTGGTGGGAAAAATGCATATTCACAAGGAGAAAAATGAAATTGAACTTTTATCTCACACCATATTCGAGAATGGACTCAAAAGAATAAAGAAATCTAACATAAAACTTGAAACTATAAGTAGAAGAAAACAAGGGAAATGCCTCATGATACCAGTCTAGGAAATGATTTATTGGATAGCATTCCAAAAGCACAGGCAATGAAAGCAAAAATAAACAAATAGGATCACATCAAACTAAAAATTGTTTCCTCTGCACAACAAAGGAAACAACAGAGTGAAGACACAACCTAGATTGGGAAAAAATATTTGCAAACCATCCATCTGATGAGGGGCTAATATTCAAAATATATAGGGAACTCCAACAATTCAACAGAAAGAAAACAACTTGATTTAAAAATGGGCAAAGGATCTGAACAGGCATTTCTCAGAAGAAGAAATACAAATGACCAAAATATATATGAAAATAATGCTCAACATCTCTAATCATCAGAGAAATACAAATTAAAACCACAATGGGATATCAGCTCCTGCCTGTTAAAATGACTATTACAAAAAAGACAAGTGATAAATATTGGTGAAGATACGGAGAAAAGGCAACCTTTGGGTACAGCATTGGTGGGAATGTAAATCAGTACAACCATTTTGGAAAATAGTATGGAGTTTCCTAAAAAATATAAAAATTACCATATGATCCAGCAATCCCACTTCTGTATATATTTCCAAAGGAAATGAAATCAACATGTCAAAGAGATATCTGCACTCCCATGTTTATTTCAGCATTATTCAAAAATAGCCAAGATACGAAAGCAATCTAACTATTCATCAATAAATGAATGAATAAAGAAAATGTGGTATGTTTACACATTGAAATACCATACGGCCTTTAAAAAGAGAAAAATTCTATCCTTTGGGACAACATAGATGGAACTAGAGTACTTTGCTAAGTGAAATGAGCCAGGCACAGCAAGGCAAATACCACATGATCTCAATCACATGAGGACTCTAAAGAAGACAATCTCATAGAAGCAGAGAGTAGAAAGGTGGGTACCAGAACATGGAGCAATGGGGAGAAAGAATGGGGGGAAGGAAAATGTTGATCAAAGGTTACAAAGTTTCATTAGACTGGAGGAGTAAGTTTTAGTGATCTACTAAACTGCATGGTGACCACAGTTAGTAATAATGTATTATATGTTTTAAAATTGCATGCATATATATATATATATATATATGTATTTTTTTTTTTTTTTTTTTTTTTTTTTTGAGATGGAGTCTCGCTCTGTCTCCAGGCTGGAGTGCAGTGGCATGATCTCGGTTCACTGTAACCTCTGCCTCCTGGGTTCAAGAGATTCTCCTGCCTCAGTCTCTCGAGTAGCTGAGACTACAGGAACATGTTACCACGCCCAACTAATTTTTGTGATTTCAGTAGAGATGGGGTTTCACCATGTTGGCCAGGATGGTCTCAATCTCTTGACCTCATGATCCTCCCAGCTTGGCCTACCACAGTGCTGGGATTACAGGTGTGAGCCACCACACCCGGCAGATACGCATATTTTCAGGTTACATGTGATCATGTAAAATACATTTTTTAGAGCCATGCACTGTGGCATGTGCCTGTAATCCCAAATACTTGGGAGGCTGAGACAGGATAACTGCTTGAGCCTAGTAGTTCTCACTTTTTGCGACAGGTTCTCACTATATTGCCCAGACAGGGCAAATATTATAGTGAGAACCTGTCGGAAAAAGTGAGAACTACTATATTGCCCCTGTCTGGGCAATATAGTGACACCAGCCTTCCCTGCATGCTATATAAATGTCATGCCTAATCCAACCAATCTGTGAGCCCTATGTAAATCAGACACCGCCTCCTCAAACCAGACTATAAAATTCAGGGCATCCACTGCCCACTGTTCCTTTCCGCTCGCTCGGAGACCACTTTCTATATAGAAGGAGCTGTTTCTCTTTCTCTTCCTATTAAAAACCTTCGTTCCTAAACTCCTTGTGTGTGTCCATGACCTAAATTTTCTTGGCACCCAGTGATGAACCCCAGGGTGTAGATCCCAGACAACATAGCTGTTTCAAAAGTATACATACCTTTATGATGAGACTAACATTCACATTTTGGTAATATTTGTTCTTTTTGACTAAAACTATGGGCTATCCTCTGTTCAGGAGACATTTTGCCTGATGTCCCGAGGATGTCAACGATTCTGAAAGCTATTGAGTATCTTCTATGTGCTCAGCATGGTGCGTTCAGTATGGAATATTCATGAATTCAGTCTTGGGGGAAAACAATGCCCCATTACCGGAGTCCACTAGAACACTTCACTGCTTTCTGCTTCATTATCATTATCTTTGAAAAGATTCATACTTTCTGCTTCATTATCAGTACCTTTCAACAGATTATCTAGACTGCCTTGTTTTTCTTACCTCCTCTTATTCCAAACTAGATTCCTTCATCTTTCTCAGGAGAATCCTTGTCTTTATTCTAACCTATACTTTTAGCATGGAATGCTCTCATCACTTCTACCTCACCTATCCATTTCCCTTGCTGCATCAAAGAAGGAAAAATCCTGAGTTCTTACTGAACAGCACCACTTCCATATAGACCTTGAAAGAGTTGGCTCCTCACATCTTTCTTCCAGTTTACTCTTCAGTTTCTTGACTCTCCTGAGTTCCTTTCCACCTACCCCTCCAAGCTTCATCTTACATCACTTGTTCCCTCATCTGCTTTACTTCATTCTCATAATGTTTCTTTCAGTGTTTTGAACTCTCCAAGCTCTGCTCTTTCTCAGGATCTTTGCAAATGCTCCTCTGTCTACCAAAAATGTTCTAATCCTTGCTTTTCCATTGCTATTTTCATTTCTTCTTTTATGTCTCAGCATAACATTCCTCCCACAGACATGTTCGTTTGATCCCTAACTCTATTTATATAAAACTCCTCTATCCACTCTAACTCCTTTACTTTTTCTACCTAGCATTTACCACAACTTGTAATTATACACTTATTTGTGCCATTACTTATTAAAATGTGTATTATTTATTAAAATGTGTTTCACATGCTAGAATGAGGCCTATATGGGCAAGGATCATATTTATTGTGTTCACTGATGCCTCCTCAGCTTCTAGCAACATGCTAAATGCATACAAAGTGCTCAGTTAACATCAGTGGGAAAAAAAATGACTGAACATGTCCTCTGTTTTCTTTTTGTTTCTAAAGTTCGTTCATCACTCATTTAGTTATTTGTTATGGTTGTCAGCATATTCTTTAGTTTGCTGAGCTTGTGTATATAAGAAGTTTCAATACTGACTTCCATTGCCAGCTTTCTTATGTCTGACTTATTCTGTATAATGAAAGTGGAGAACTGAATGAAGACCAAATGATTATTGCAGTTTGCTGAACTCTTGGCCTCAAACAACGCAACCCAGCCTATCATTCTGTCTGAACTTTCACACAGCCAGGATTCATCGAGCCAGCAATAAAAAACTGTTATTCAAAATTCAGCCCAAGTGGGACATCCACCAAGAAGACTTCCTTGACTCCCTAAGTTGAGTGAGATGTCCTCTATTTTAATTCCAAACTCCTCCTTTTATTTCTTTATTATGGATATTGCACATAGTACTACAATCTATAACTTACTCAATAGTTCCTATGGAACATATGTTTTTCAAATCAGAGCTAGAATATACTAATACCTGATAAAATCTGATGAATGATTAGATGCTCATAGTGATAATCATTAAAAAAATAGTTATAAGGAAAATAGAGTATTAAAAATAATGCCAAAGAACAGAAACACTAACACATTCATGCATATCTTGATAACTAAATAATCCAATGAACTTTAAGACATTAATATTTCATTATTTCCATATTACATTATGAATATAAAGAATTGAGAAATACCATATAATAACTTAGGACCTGAAAGAACTTCAAAAATGTTAACTTTTATTATCAAATTAGATTGTAATGGGCTTTCCTTTATTATATACTGTATTTTATTAGTGACAACTAAATATTCAACAGTCCCCATTCTATCTCAATTAAATAAATTTTAGCTGAGTTACTGAGCCTTTAAAACTTAAAGAAGTTAGCACTTAAAATGGAATAATTAGAACCGTTTTTGTAATTAAGAAACAAGACACTCTGGAGCATTGCATTTCTGTAGAATTATTGCATGTCTTAAGCACATTAAGACTGACACCAAAGGCACAATGCCTCAGCCTCTTGAGAAATATACTAATCCCTAGATATCCACTGCTTAAAGCTGCTTGCTGTGTATAGATTTTTTTTCCAGTATTTAGATATCAACTCAAAATTTTTTTACTTCATGTTTATAACATTATTCCAATTTGTATTGGGAAACAGTATGACAGCTCTCTTTTTACAATATGAACATTTAAACTATTGGCCAAAAGGAAATACACAGTCATATGCTTTATTATGAAATTAACTTTATGTATTACCCTAAGTTGTAACAGTCCTTAACCAGAATCTCCCCTATATACATACATGAATCTATATATACACATAAATATATACACAGTATTTCCCACAGGGTAATAATGAAAATTAAAGAGAACTGAACTCCACTGGAATTTAAAAGCAAAATAACCACCTAAAACACTATTAAGAAAGCCTCAAAAATAGCAGTTTGCCAAAAAACAAACAAACTTGTGGCAAGAAACCTAAAAGACTAAAACAGATTTGGAATGTGTTACAGGGCAGTCATTTGTTACACACTACTGTCATTACTCTCTAACACCTTCCTTATATCACACTGTGGGAGCTGTAGTGATTTCACACTCAAACTCTTTCATCAATCAAAACCATCTATTGAAAAAAGATTGTCAGCCTGGTGCGGTGGCTCATGCCTATAATCCCAACACTTTGGGAGACTGAGGCAGGCAGGTCACCTGAGGTCAGTAGTTCCAGACCAGCCTGGCCAATATGGTGAAACCCCGTCTCTACTAAAAACATAAAAATTAACTGGGCACGGAGGTGGGTGCCTGTAATCCCAGCTACTCGGGAGGCTGAGGCAGGAGAATCGCTTGAACCAGAGAGGTAGATGTTGCAGTGAGCCGAGATCACGCCACTGCATTCCAGCCTGGGCAATAGAGTGAAACTTAGTCTCAAAAAAAAAAAAAAAAAAAGAAAAAAAAAAGATTGTCAAGTGCTACATCCATGTGTTTTTGTTCTTGTTGATATCATTCTGTTGGCCAGTTGATAATGTACATTTTATTGCAATGTGTCCGT